CACAAATGCTGCTAGACCTGCTGAACTTTTCCAGCAATCTCTATTTTTGTTTCTCATTTACAGCATCCGCAGTTCTTTTGGTTTTTATTTAGAGTTTGCCAATTGTTGTGATCGATGCTGATGCTTTCATGTCGCTTTTTGACAGAATCCTTGTATCAGAGTTTTGGGTGCCCTGCAGATTTCTTGGAATGCACTCTCTCCTTGTACATCTGGGGATGTGGTCATCTTCCATCTGTATATGACCAAGACAGCATTGTTATATTCAAGCTGTAAAATATCATCAAAGGCCTGTCAATATGGATGCACAGTAGAGAATGCAAAGAAAATAAACTTATGATCTGCAGAAATATAGAAATTGGACACTGTTATTTGCAAAATTGTATCACACAAGTACTTTGCTCCAAACTCCAAATTGAAAATGCTAAGTTAGGAGAGGCTGGAGTAATTTAGAAACTTCCTCACTTGATTTTTTTCTCTCAGAGTACTTCTGAGCATGCTCCACAATACTAATTCCTTCGAGCACTTCTAATGCTGAGTCCTGATCATCTCAAATTTGAAACATCGTCCTGGCTTCATTAGTGCTAACAACTTTGGCATGTTTGCCCTTGAAAGGACTGCCTGATTGGTGACACTGTCTTTCCTCGTAAAGAGAGGATGTGTTATAGGTGCCAGAGGTTGAATTTATTGAAGCTTTTTGGGGGCTGCTGTAAATTGTCTGGGCTTCAGTACCATGCAACCATGGGGAATACAGGTTTGTATGTAAGGATCCAGTTTCTTGACCCAGAGAGTGGCCAGCCTGTGGAATTTTCTGCCACAGAAAGTGGTTGAGATTAAGAAGGAGATAGATATAGCTTTTGGGGCTAAAGGGATCAAAGGGTATGGGGAGAAAGTGGGAACAGGGTTGGATGATCAGCCCAATCATATTGAATGGTGGAGCAGTCTTGAAGGGCTGAATGATCTACTCCTGCTCCTAATCTGTACGCTTCTGGAGTGGCACGGTGGCTCAGTGGTTAGCACTCCTGCCTCACAGCGCCAGGGACCAGGGCTCGCTTCCAGCCTCAGGTGACTGTCTGTGTGGAGTTTGCATGTTATCCCTCTGTCTGCGTGAGTTTCATCCAGGTGCTTCAGTTTCCTACCACAGTCCAAACATGAGCAGGTTAGGTGGATTGGTCATGCTAAATTGCCCATAGCATTCAGGGATTTGCAGGCAAAGGTGGATTAGCCATGGGAAATGCAAGGTTACAGGGATAGGGTCTGCGGGTGGGTCTGGGTGGGATGCTCTTTGGAGGGTCGGTGTGGACTCGATGGGCCAAATGGCCTGCTTTCATACTGTAGGGGATTCTATGTTCCTTCATGCCTGTTTAGTTAGTTGGTAATGAGTGGTGGCTGCCTTTCTGATCCATGTGCTGAGCTAGTCATGAAGAAAGAGCATATTGGTCAACAAGGTGATTGGATTTGCCGAATGCCTCCAGTGGTATATTACTGAGTCCAATCATAGGCACAGATACAACTCCACGTCCCTTAACTACAGTATCCCTGACATGGAGTGTGAGAGAGAACATGACACAGGTATGGGGCACATAGTCCATCAGTCGTTGGAGCAGATCTTCTGTCTGAACAATGCAGTATTATTAGTTTACAGAGGATCTCAGAGCAGGACTTAACTCATTTTTACCTCGGCTTTCAGTCCTCAATGGACGGGGAGTTTCCTATTTGCTGTGTGGGACATTTTGTTGATTAAGCTTCAGTAATGTGCCTGGTCTTCTCTCTTTTTGAATTACAGCCTTCAGATCATTCCCCATCACCCCCATGAACCCAGAATCTCACCATCTAATACGTGAGAAACTGAGGGAGTTAATCCTTATTGATATTCTGCACATGCCTCCGCACCTGTTTTCTCTCTTTTGTCTTCCAGTGTTCTACCTGTTACCTAACTATCTGCTTACTGTTTCATCAGTGGAGAGCCCTGAAATCAGAGGTGCTGCCCACATACTCGGGGGAAACTTCTAACATTTGTCATCATCCCTCATAGATGAGATGCTGGTGTGTGGGATTGTACTGTGTTTGCCCTTATATCTCCTACAGTGGCATGATCTCCCAACATCTTGGTTTACAGAGTTGTGGCGGTTCCCACCCTCCTATATGGCTGTGAGGCGTTGACTTTTACAGCAGACACCTCAAGACATTGGAGCAGTACCTGCAACTCTGCCTGTGCAAAATCCTACAAATCCACTGGGAAGAATGATACAGCAACACCGGCATCCTTGGCCAGGCCAACATCCCCAGCATCGAGGCACTAATCCCCCTTCATCGGCTACGATGGGCCGGGCACATTGTCCACATGGCCAACACAAGACTCCCCAAGCAGGTGCTCTACTCCCAGCTTCAGATGGGCAGAGGAAATGCTTCAGGGACACCCACAAGGCCGCATTGGCGAAATGTGGCATTCCCACAGACACCTGCAGATCACTGGCCCAAAACCTTCCCAAGTGGAGGAGGAGCATCTGGGAGGGCATGGAGCACCTTGAGACTTGCCATCAGGAAAAGGAGAAAGCCAGGGTGTAGCGCTGCTACACACCAATGCCCCACTCTCCCCCTTCCCGTGACCACCTTCTGCCCCAAGTGTAGAAGAGCCTGCGGTAGTTGCATTGGACTGTACGGCCACCTACGGATGCACCCTGAGAGTGGAAGAGACTCATCCTGAATCACCAAGACTGCCAAACCTGCAGAGTTTTTCCAGCAATTTCTGTTTTTGTTTCTGATTTCCATTATTCGCAGTTCTTTACATTTTCTGATTATTTGGTTATGCATTTCACTGCTATCTGTGGGATCATGCTATGCACAGCTTGGCTGCTGTAAAGCTGTCTTCCTCTGGATGTGTAAGATATGAACAGTGTAATTCACAGAAGGCTAAGAACAGAAGTGGTAATTCACTGTGTTTCTGACTGACCTCATACATTATACCCTCTGCAAATCTCACATTGACTATAACTCTGCTGCCCCCATTTAAATCTACCCAGATCCCATAGCATCATTAACATCCCAACCCTCCAACCCCATTCTCACTGGCCCTGAATCATGCAAAGCCTCCTAAGTAGCAGCACAGTAGCTCAGTGGTTAACACTCACTGGGCCAAGGACCCAGGTTCGATTCCACCCTTGGGCGACTGTCTGTGTGGAGTTTGCACATTCTCCCCGCGTCTGTGTGGGTTTCCTCCGGGTGCGCCGGTTTCCCCCCACAGTCCAAAGATGTGCAGGTTGGGTGGATTGGCTGTGCTAAATCTCCCATAGTGTCCAGGGATGTGCAGGTTAGGTGGGATAGCCATGGGATATGCAGGGTTACAGGGATTGGGTAGGGGGTGAGTCTGGGTGGGATGCTCTTTGGAGAGTCGGTGTGGACCTGATGGGCTGAATGGCCTGCTTCCACACTGTATGGATTCTAAGATTCTAAGTAAAAGTCTCATTCTTGTTTCCACATCAGTCCCTCATTCCCATTCTTTGGAACTTCTTCCAGGCCCCTAACTCTCTGAGGTATCTAAGTTCCTCTAATTCTGCCCTATTGAATAGTGTGAGTTTAGACCATTGGCAGCCCTACCTTCAGCTGCCTGGGTTCCAAACTCCAGAACTCCTTCCCTAAACCCCTAGACCTCATGTCATACCGGACTCAAAACATCAACTCTGTTTCTGTCTCCACAGATGCTGCCAGACCCTCTGAGTTTCTCCCACATTCTCTGTGTTAGTTTCAGATTTCCAGCATCTGCACTATCTTGTTTTGATTTGAAAGTTTAATTCACTGCCACTTCTTTTCCATCCACTTGGAAGACATTTTGCTCTTCTCTCAGACAAGATTTCCATTTTAATCCTTCACCTGAAGAGACATACTGGCAAAACGTTAACTCTGTTCCACGGATGATGCCAGACCTACTGATTTTCTCAGGCATTCTGTGTTTGTTTCTCTCTGAGTCTGTGCTTCACTCTCTTCCTTGAGGACCATTCTTTAAACCCCCACCTATTTGACAAAGTCTTCAGTCACCTGTCCTATTATCTTCTCACGTGACTCAGTATCATGTCTTGTTTTATTACTGTTCCTGGGCAGCACTGCGAGACGTTTCATTTAAAGGTGCTACATAAATGTAGCCAGCAGTTAAACTGTTCATGTAGTTCAAAGTGCAGCAACAGAGCTCACTACCACTCTCCTCCGACACCATATCCCTGGCCCAGGCCCCCATACCTCAATAACTGTCTCTAATCCTGCTTTCCCCAGCAAGCCAGGAGAGCTGAACCTTCACTGAGAGCACGCCGGCTGTAGGCAAGGGAGCAGCCCCCACCCCAGCTGATCAAATCCAGGGACCAATTCCCACTGATTCCTGATGATCTTGTTCTGATTGTGAGCTACGCACGGGTAAATTGGATATGGCTCA